ACCAATGAAAAGTGCATATATATATATATATATATATATATATATATATATATATATATATATAAAGGAGAAAATGTAAACAGTCAACTGCTGATACTCCCTGAGAAGTGGACAGTCCTCTCGCCTGTGGAACTCCCTTCCCTATTCCAGTTTCCCTGAGAGCTATAATCTCCAACTATTCAAATGTAATGTCAATCGACATCTCCAGTTGCCTTGATCTATCCACTATCCTTCTCCTCATCCTCCTCTATCACTCCTATCTGATCTTGCTCCAAATTTTCTGTAACCCCTTGCGTCCTAGTGGCTTCCCGCCTTGCTTGGGGTGACACTTAAAAAAAAAAAGAAAAAGATTTTCCGCCTACGAAACTCTGCAGATGCTGAAGGTAACTCTGGGATGCAGGTAACACCAATCAGTTAAGTGACAAACTTTATATTTGTATTAATTCTAGGTTAGATCTGTAAACGACTTGTAATTTTAATCACAGATCCCGACTAAAAGTTCTCTTCATCGAATCTTCTCTCCTTACCAATTTCATCATGTCTGGACACTTTGTTTCATTTGCCTTTTATTACTGTAAAAAAAATATATCTAGCGAAAGTCGAAAACAAAAAACTAAGCAAAAAAGCAAAAATACAAAAGCAAAAAAACAAAACAAAGATGGCTGCTCAATGCAAGTACGTAAAGAATTTTTCTGTTATCTGTGGATTTCGAGATGAAATTATTTCTGTTAAAATTAATAAAAAAAATCGAAATTGCAATTGTTATGTACACAATTATTATCGTGTTATTTTTTCGGGTATTTCGGTAAATAGAAGCGGTACTGCTGTTCCCAAAATATCCTACTACAGGCACCCTGTAGTAGGATATTTTGGATGGATAAATTGTTGTCTAAATTACGCAAAAATGAAAATAATTCTAACATCTCTTTTTAACATATATTTACCAAAAATATGTACACAAAAATATCTTGAAATACTAAAGAGTAAATTTATTCAATAAAATCGACATTGGCTTCAACCACGGCCTTCGGAATTTCCTGAATTTCTTCTAGACGGCCTCCTTGTTTAATCCTTGCTTTTAGTTCATCTTTGGTGTTACAAGTTTTGTTGGACTCTGGCTCAACTGCGCCCCATACATAATAATCAAGGGGGTTGTATTCTGAGGAGTTAGGTGACTAAATGTAAGAGCATGTCATTTCCAAAATTCTGGCGGAGTGATTTGCGTCATGGTGCTCTTTTTCTCACAGACGGTGCCCAACTGATTCTACTATACAGTCCAGTCGACAAACTTAAAAACAAACAACGCGCATGCACGAAATTAAATTAAAATGGCGACAATTTACCCATTGTACCCTGGAAAAGGCGAAATGAAACAAAATATTCAATTTAAATAATTGCGTAATGATAATATAAAACACATACTTTAAATGATGTTAAATAAAAACCTGTCATTTATAAAAATGTAATTGTTTTGTGATTTTTAAAAGTTAGAATAATATTTAAATATCTATCTGAGGAAATTTAGGAGACTATCTGGAGAGACTGAGGCGACGATTTGATCCATTTAGAGATGGCTGTAACCTCCCATGAAATGAATGAATAAAAATGCAAATATGACCAAAAGAGACTTCCTTTGGATTGGTCGGTTAAATCTAAAACATTATTTGAATTTATTATCAATTAAATATTCGGGAAACGTGTTACGAACCGACCAACCAAACCAATATGTCGTAGGTTATTAAAATTTGATGGGGTAACTTTTTTACTAGTTCAGTGCCGATCGCTTCACTGATGACAAGACGATCAAATTTCAATTCTAAATTGTTTTTTCCTTTTATTTATTAGAAAATTCATTCAATTTAAATACAGAAATTCAAAGGGGCTGCAAATTTCGGCTTATGCGTTTTCCTGTCATCCAGACATGATTGCCAGACAGAAAGGCAAATTAGCCAACTCAGCACAAATTTCAATTTCATTTATATTCTATGTGTATGCACGTTTGCGTGTGTGCATGTCTTTTTTAATTCAATGACTGACGTAAAAATATTACTTTCGTAAAAAATTTAATTATATTACCGTATAATTTGCGAAAAGTCCAATCAAATTTTATAATTCTTTTATCGTTTAAAAAATGAAGATTTTTTTTCTGTCTTAATTTCTGAGACGAGGTTATTATTGTTTACTACACCATTATTTTATTATTATTTACTATTGTCCTCAGGTTTGTTGTTGTTATCTCAAGGTTTCGGCAGTTGTACCCTCCGGTTTTCATCAGAAGTATGTCACTAGTGGAATAAAGCGTTGGTTTGTGAATTTGGTAACATAATAATTGTGGGTTCAATCTCTGGCCCGGGTAGTGTATACTTGGACTCAGTGAAGATGAAACGAGTAATAACTGAGCAGTTCTTTCCTGTCCTTTGTAGCTCTTAATAACTTTTCCAAGCCCTCTTTCCTCATTATGTGTCCCTAAAATTTCAACTATCTCGTCCCGAGGTGAAGTATAAATGTCCTTTTTGTTGCCATTGTTTCTAGAACTTCGTCATTGCTCACATATTCAGTCCATGTTATTCTCAGCATCTTTCTGTAGAACCACATTTCTGTTGCTTTAAGTCACTTCTTCATCTGTGAGGAGATTGTCCAGCATTTACTGCCATATAGCAGCACTGATATTACATAACAGTTAAGTAGTCTTTTTATTGTTTCTAACAATATTTTTTGTTCTTAATACTTTGCTCAGCTTTTGGAAGGCATCTTTCGCTATCCCAATACACCTGATTTTCGTGTCGCGCTTTCCGTTCTCTATTAATACGTTTCTCAGATATCTAAATTTTCACAGTAGATAAGGCAAAATCAGCGTCGGTTAAAAGAGCTGTAAATAACAATTTTTGAGAATTCGAAACAATTTGCGATATTTACAACATTACAACTGAAGGAAGGTTATATATTGTCATTAACTTGTCGCAGAGTTGGGGTGTGTATTTAAAGATATTATTATCAGAAGGTTTTAGTCAATATAAATGAATAAGTTGCGTGAATAAAAACTCTGCAAACCTTTTAATTTGTTTTCCGTCTGGCACAAGGTCAATACAAAATGTTGATAAAAGATGACACAAAAGACTTCTTTGATATATAAATGGAAATATTAAATTTATATGTACAGAAATATACAATAAAGTTGCTATCAAATAATTAAAGAAGGTGTCCTTTGAAAAATCTTTGTAACTTTCTTTTCTTTTAGAGTGTTGTTTGCTGATTAACTGTTAACTCTTTGCTGGTTAACTGTTCATGTTGTTAGAAATACCGTTCAGATGATTCAAGATTCACGCTCTTTCTTTTGTTTAAATACCACTTGGGTCACATGATTGCCCAAATAAGGCTAAACCTTTTCCAAGAAAAGTGATCTTAATTCAAAGAAATGCGTAGGCGTCGTACAGTTGAATTAATCACTGATTGGACGAAACTACTTTGTATACATTAAAAGGCGTAATATTATTACTAAATGAAATTTATTTTAATATCGTTTACAAAAACAGTAATATTTGCTGAAATATCTTCACATTTAAAAATTACTTAAAATTAGAATTCTATAAATTTGCCAGGATTATTTTTCATTTCTGTCAGCTTGTCATTTTATATCGGCTCCCATCTCCAAGGAGTTCTCAAACATATGTACTAAAGAGAAATGAAAAGAGAAGTACCAAAATAAATACGTTTACCATTTTTATTAACTGCAACAATGTAAAACAACAATACAACGTAACATAAACATAGTACTTAACTTACAGTATGTGATGGTTGTACTCTAAAAGATTGCTACACACGACCTCACCTTAACTTAATTAAGGCGAGGTTGCGGATTACCACCTAGGAATATATTTTGTTCCCCATTGTTGTGAGTCTGGACGTTGACTGCAGCACGTCTTGTTCCAACCTTTTTTCGGGTTCAGACTAATTTTCTAACTGTGCTAACGGCACTAATTCGTCTCGGTTGTCCGCTAACTGTGCAAAGAGGTCTAACTCACCTTGGTCCTCTGATCGCTAGGCAAGGGGTTCTATCTAAAACTCTACATTTCTGTCTTTTGAAGTAATGAGTTTTTCTATTCAGTGGGTCAAAGACCGTTCTATCAAACGTTTATAGCTTATAGGAAATATCGGGGAGAGTCGTACAGCATTTTCTTTCGCAAAATCAAGCATTTCAATGTTAGGGTGAGACGTGTTCTTCAAGTAGGATGAGAACTGGTTTTTGCTTATGCAAGACATGTTTCGCAAAATACTTCATGAATTGTAGAAAGAGTTCTTTCATCATCTATCAAAATGTTGCCAATACTGGTCTATCCCTTATAATATGACCAGTGAATTCTTTTCTGGAAAGATTACCATAGTTGGAACAAAAGTCAGTGGAACAGCATAACATACTGTTTTATATTTGACCACACTCAACAAAAGTAACAGATAAAACTTGAATGATTCCTTTCATTATCACACTTCTGAACCAGTTTCATTGCAATTTCATATACCAGCTGCTTGGAACTAATAATGGTTAATCACTTTAGCCAATATATTGAAGAATTAAGTAACATTGGTTGAGATGGAACTTGTTGCTCGAATCAAATTTGCAGACGTAAGGATAAATTTGATATTTAATGAAAACAACAAACTAATCTAAAATTGCACATGTATTTTCTTCCCTTGACTAAAAGATTTCAATTAAAGCATTTTGCACACTGGAGGATTGATTTGATTTTTACGGCTTATCAAACTTTTTCCAGGACAGAAAGTATTTTTAGGTCACAAGAATTTTGGGAAGATAATAATAATTTACTGATACAACTCCTACTAATTAACCCATAGCTGGAAGTAGGAAAGGTGGATTCATAACTTTCCCAAGGGTATTTGCTCCTAAGTGAATAAAACGAACCTGACTGGAATTGGAACTCGGTTTTCAGATTTCAAATTCCAAGCCGTTACCATTACACCACCCGCACATCCAAGTTTATAGGACCTGGTATTCCCAGGTAGTTACCCATCTAGACACTGACCAGGCTCGACACTGCTTAACTTCGGTGATCGTACGAGAACTGGTGTTTCAACGTGATATGACCGTAAACAGCACAGCCCTATCATATATCGAGAGAGTGGGTTTACATAGAGAGAAGGGCCCAGTTAAACGTCCAGTTAGCGTCCTTGGTGTCAGCATATCGTGAGTGGAGGATTGACGGTCGTTCCTTTGAAGATACTGGTAGCAAGTGGATCCTTCTGAAGCGAATACATACATTGATTTTTACGTTGCCGACATTGATTTTCTTTTTCTTTTTTTTCACAGACTCCGATTTGGAATGGTATACTTCTTGCATCTATCCTATTGGTTATCAATGAAAAAACTTGACGCGTTTTAATGCAATCAATAGTCATATCCTCCACCTGTTTCTTCTTTTGAACACATCTTCTAAGCGTGTTGAAGTGTATCAGCTACAGCTGCTACTGATCTGAGGCGTCTGTTTTCATGTAACAACTTGATCCATTACTCTTATGACGTCACCAGGAATATGTAGGACATAACAGGTTTTTGTTTTACAAGTTCGAACCATTTCGAAAAGATCTGAAAAAGAATGTAACGTAAAGTGTCAGTCGTTATTCCATTGCCTGCAAATACAAATCCTAACATTTGGGTTTACTAAATATATAGTTTAACTTGATATCTGCTTTCTTTTTCTTTTTTTAAAAATCAATTCACTCCAAGCAAGGCGATAATGCAAGGGTCCACTGGAAGTGAAAGATAAGGAAAAGACTTTAGAAGAAACTGGAAAACCATTAAGAGTATAAATTTCAAAGTTTAAGCGGAAACGTTAGAAGTATAGAATTGACTTTAGAAGGAACAGAAAACCCAATCTTAAGCAAGAAACAAATGATAAACCTTTACTCTTGGTCAAAAGACCGGGGAGAAATGTGAACCGGTCAATAAGTGGACCTATTTATTCCTATTGTCTGGCATCGACTCATTGAGTAAACTAAGTACCACTTATAAGCGACATTTGCTTGCTTTAAATATGGTTTTAAAATTGTGTGTAAATTACCTAAACGTGGTTCGTTGAATCAGTGGATACCAAATGCATTTTAGGGCTAATTTCCCGATTTACAAGACCAACTAAGTCATAATAAATCCTATTAACCTGAATAAGAACAGGTTTATTTTCATTTCATGTACTTTGTGCACAAATCATCCAAATGCTTTCATTTCATGTTTAGTGTGTTGGCTACTTCGATAATTAAAGCGTAGTTTTTTACGAGAATATTTTATAGTACATGAAATAATGGTGGTGAAAAAGGGTACATGCACAAAATAACAGAGACTGATTGATTTGCAATGCAAGATAACATTTATTAAATAAAATTAACAAAAAGAAAGTTCAAGACAAGAGTTTCTTTTCCTAGAAGTAAATTGCGTACACAACGAAATGTCATGTGTCCACAGCCCATTTAGCTTCAGTATGAAAAGTTCATGTTACATAGTCCGAAAGAAGAAAACCCTGAAGAGAGAAAGCTACTTAAGGCTTTTGCTTGTTCTTATATCTCACGGCTGCTGCTAATACAAGTTTTTTTTTTTTAAAAAACCTTGTATCAGCAGCTGCTACTATATTTATTGAGGCACTATACATGTATAATGTGCACCAGTCATTGAAATAATATTGAAGCTATCATCATTTGAAAACAGTAAACGTTTTTACTCGTGCTAGAAAGCAAAATTTTGTCTAACATTAAAAATTTTTATGTGTATAAGTAAATCAATAAACATTTTTTAATCAATGTAAATAAAGATATGATTTTGAGGTCAATCGGAAGAGCAAAGCAGTCTCTTTAAAGAAAAAATTGTAATATTCTCGTCAATAACTGGTTTCCATTCACAATAGGTTCATATAAATTATTGTATTATGTTCCTACACTATACCTATTATTTTTATAGGGATATATTAGTACAGTCAGTAGGGCTGCTTGATACAGTGGAAAAAGTAGCCCCGATGTTTTTTACCAGAGCTCATATTGCAATTTTTGTTGTTATTATCGCTTTTCTCTGGCACTCCTTATTACTGGTTCCCATATTGTATTCGTTTCTATGCTTGGTCGGATCAGAAGATTTTTGTGGCCTAGTATATGTGCTGATTCCTTAAGTTTACGAATTTTCTAATGGTGTTCTTTGTCTATGATCTCAACCTGATCCCGCAGAGGGCGGTGATCTCCCTTCTCTCTCCATATGTGGTCAGCCCCGCCTGATCTTTCCACTTACCCTCGTGTTACAGCTTTCTGGTGTTCTTAAAGCCTTACCTTAAGGGAGCAGCCTGTCTCCCCTTTATATTAAACATAGCACGTGAAACTAGAACAGTCTACCCCAGTGAGCGAAATAAAGGGTTCAGTTCGACATTCCAACAACCTGAAGAAAGCCGGAGCGTACAACGGCCGAAACGTTGTAATAAATATGGCGACAAAGATGAGGACAATAGTCCGAATAATGTAAATAATGTACATAATACCTCATCTCAGAAATATAGACAGATACTCTAATTACATTATTCAAATTTTTTATTTACTGGAATTGTTCTAAGTTTGAAGCCGGGGATTATGGTGCAGATAAGAATAATTCCATGGCAGCAGCATTTGAAAAGTGAAGCCTCAGTGAATGCAATCAACTGTGACAAGCAGCAGCAATCTCATCCGCAGACAGGTTCAAAACTTCAAATTCTACACTCAGGATTGTTCCACTGGACAATCTTGCGTTGGTTCTTGAATTTGGTAACATAGAAATTGTGAGTTCAATCTGTGGACCGAGCAGTGCAGTCTCAGTTGAAACGAGAGGCAAACAACAACAGAATAATACTAAATAATGAACTAGACAAAATATCCCTAGAAATGACGATCAGAACGCGAACAATCTACCCCACCACCACCACACTAGATTAAATAAACATTTTCATTCAATATTTGTTCAAGGCTACCTGGATCGACATGTACCTGATGAAGTCCAGAGAACACAACGACCAAAACGTTTTGATACTAACAACAATTACTATCCTTTCTTTTTACTTTCCTTTACCACCTCATCTAGAAGTTGCTACCGTTTTCTTTCTCTGTCTGCCAGCAATAAAACTGAGAATAGCAGTTGCAAATAAAAAATCTATTTTCTATCTACTCGTAAAAAAGATCTGTGCTCATTATAAAGGTTTAAATATCACTTGGAACTAGATTTCATAATAGAATAGTGAAAGATGTCTTCCAAGAGCTAAGCAAAGTATTAAGAAAAAGGAAAAATCTGTTAGATTATTATGTAATATCATATCGGTCCTCTTATATGACAGTGAAAGCCTGACAATCTCACAGACGAAGACAACAGAAATGTGGTTCTGTTGAGAATATCATGGACGGACCATGTTATAATTAACATCAGAAAGAGACAGTTGAAATTTCTAGGGTAAATAATGAGGAAAGACGTCTTGGAAAATTTGACACACACAGAACAAGTGGGACAGAAGAAAAACACTGCATAACCTACCTAACAGGCTTGTGTAAATGGTTGGCAGAACAGAGTTCAGAAGAGATAACAAAAAGACATAATTTACTATGAGCTACAAAGGACAGGAAACTGTGGAGAGCCATTATCGCCAATGCCCTGAAGGGCCACGGCACAAGAAAATAAAATAAGCTACATAAGCCATGTATATATGTGTGTGTGTGTGTGTGTGTGCGTGCGTGTATGTGTGTGTGTGTGTTCACCGATGAGCCAAAATATTATGACTATTTATCTATTGATAATAAGGTGTTGGTCCTCCCACTGCCTATGAAATAGATCTTACTCAATCAGGCATGAACTCTATTGGCCCTCTAAAGTTTTCCTCTGGTGTGTGGTTCCAGGATGCTAACATCAGGTCCTTTAACTGCTTCAAGTTCAGTAAAAGAGGTTCTGTAGAGTGAACTTGTTGGATCAATTTATCCTATAAGTATTCGATAAGATTAAGATTTGGGGAGTTTGGCAACCAGGGTAAGAAAGTGAAATCTTCTTCAACTCCATACAACTCATACAGTGTGGCAGAGTGCATTGACCTACTGAAAGATGACTGTTGCTATGAAAGGGTGTACCTAGTTTTTAATGATCTTGAAAATAGCTGATGCATAACAAATGTATCTTCCATATGAATGATAGGATTCAGTGTTTCCCAAATCATCACAATTCCTCTAATGGCATGGCATTTTCCCAGAGTATGCCAATTAACATTTTCAACAATGGGCATTGGTTAACTTGTGTACCCTGATTTACCTGCAGTTGCAACATGACAAGAATTGATGTACTGTGTTATCTTTCAGCTTGATTAAAACAGTTTGTGCCACAGTAGCCCACTTGTTGTCTCCTACTTGAGAGTAAAGCCTACATTTATTTCTTGAAAGAATAAATCTTGTTCACCGAATACCTTATCAGTAACTAATGATTATTTCTTCTTGGATTACGGCCAATGGGCTTTCACATCAACATATAACCTGGGAAGCCATACTTGAACCTAGTCTTATGGACATAAAAATGTGACCTTCATTAAAACATTGACTTTCAAACACTTGTTAACATGTGGTTAACTTGCAGTTTTTATTCAGACGCTATCTATGAGTTCTCTCATGCTAACTGTGAGTTATATTGTGTTAACTATGAATTAACTTGTTCTTGGTATTTCTTGAAACAAGGCGCCAACAATGAGTTTATTCGCGCGGAATACTTTTAATGTGTAAACAATGTTAAGTCTTCAGTTGAAGTGATAAATCAACTCAAATAGAGATTTTATTGCCTAAGTTGCCTCTTATAAATTTGGCATTTGGAGTCAGATTTTGTAATTGATCTCTGGAGGTCAACGTGTTATAGTTAGAGAAATCTATCTTCTTGCTCATAACTGCAGAAAGGATCATACACAACAAGGATCGATTTACTGTGTATTGAGGTACATTCCTTCTTTCACCTTGATTAAAACAGTATGTGCCACAATAGCCCATCTATTGCCTCATACTTGAGAGAAAAGCCTATGTTTATTTCTTGAAAATAAATCTTGGTTACCAAATGTCTTGTTAGCAATTGG